ACAAAATGGTTACGAGGTCGGTCCCAAGGATCGAGCCCGGGTTGAAAGAGTTAACAAATGCCAGACAGAAATTAAGAATATTAACACAAAAATCATCCATCCAACCTTACTAAATCCAAACAAGATCTAAGTTATCACGATCCAACCGTTTTTATAAATTCTCAAAAATTACAGTGAAATCTACAAATCTTGCATGATACACCTATCATAGCTACACTTTTCACCTCATGAAATCGAGAGCTAAATCTTGCATATTTAACTACTCATATCCTCACCAAGTATTGACAAGGTCCCAGAAAACTCTTGATTAACACATTAAAGTTTTTTAGATAGAAAGAAAGAAAATATGAATTGTTTTGAATGACCCACAAACTCCATTTGGTCAATACCTTAAATTCAAAAGATTATATTTAAATTTTTTGTTCAACTGACCAAACATTTAATAGTACCTGAAATTTAAAAAATAAGCTATAGAAAAAAAATGAATGAACTTATTACCAAACACACATCAAACTTAAAACACCACAAGGTATGACCAACCTGGCATGTATTTGCCCACAATCCCAAATTACCTCCGAATCTACATATTCACAGTCATAGTAGAAGCATCATGAATTCTCTCGACAACCTATAAAAACTATGAATCTTGACCTTTTCCACACTCAACTAACCAGACTTACATCACAATATCAAACAGCTAGATAAAGCTAACAATAAAAAAAAAAATCCATTCAGTATTCATGTTAACAGCAGAAAAAAGAAAATGTACTGTAAACTGTAATAACAATAAATAAAACAGTCTACATGGAGAAACTACAAACTTAACATCAAACATCAAAAACTTAAATATAATTCTACAGAAGACAAGGAGTGTAAAATCACAAAAATACATAGAAAGATGCAAGTGAACACTTTAAGCTACTACTATAGAACAAAAGCAAATCATCAAATGTACATGAACTGCCACCTTTGAGATACATAAAACTTTCTCACATGGTGCACCAGATAGACATTTTCTTCTTTACAATACTCAATGTAAATATATATATATTCATTTATCTTTGTTTAAACTATATGTATCTTAAACATCTGCATTAATATTGTTTCCAACTGCAATACTAACAAGAGACTCCATAGTATATGTATATAAATTTCATTTTCAACTAAAATTAGTTTTATTATTGACAAATTGTCTGCACCCATGCTTCTTTTTTTTTTTTAATCAAAACTAGTTTCTAGGACCATAAACCTTCAAGGATGAATTAACAGAAATTTGTTTTATTTACTAACTTTTGTTACATGTATTTATTTATTAATCATTACTATCTATTTTTTTATTAACCTGTTATTTATATAATTAAAAGAATCAGCAAGTTTTATTTCTGGGCTGCTGTTGCCACTATCTACTTTTGATATGATAACTTTGTTCTCAAAAATATGCACACACACAAAAAATATAAAAATTGCAGCAATGTTTTAAAAATGGTGTATAAACCTGTGGTTAGACAATTCGATAAATATTCACCCTCTGCCATACCACACTCAATGTAAAACATTAAATTTTAAGAATGAAGAAAAAGTGTTTTCACCTCACCTAAAAAACAAATACAGTGAGTCATATTGGAACCATAGAGATATATATCATTGTATGATATTAGATCACAGTGTTCCTTTGTGGTGTATATCAGCATCACCCAACAAAAATGGTGCTACACACTTGGCCTCAAAAGGTGCATCTTGCAGCACTTGGTATAGAGATCTAACTTTTCTTTTGTACTTAAATCATCTTTTAAAATAAGGTATACCTTGAAGCCTGAAGAAAGCTCTGTATATTTAGTCTCATTTGGCTATGTTACTCAGTTACAAGGAAGAAATTATTTCCATAAGTTTTAGTTAGGTTTTCAGTTATAAAAAATACATGAATGGTAAAATGATAACATAATTCATAAGGCCTATACAAAATCTCAGTGCTAAAACAACAGCAAATTACTTATTAAAAAAGAGCTCAGAGAAATTGTTGCAAAGTTTCTATACTAAGAAAAATCTTAGTTATTCTGTATACATGCAATTAATGAAGTTTCCAAGACTAAAGAAGTTACACTTACTCTTCAGTTTTTCAATCTGCATAAGAGCCTTATCAGTGTACTTTTGGGCTTTGTCCATGTAGCCTGCTTGCATTGAGTGTAAAACTGTAACCTAGAAACAAGATCATACATGCAATTAATGAAGTTTCCAAGACTAAAGAAGTTACACTTACTCTTCAGTTTTTCAATCTGCATAAGAGCCTTATCAGTGTACTTTTGGGCTTTGTCCATGTAGCCTGCTTGCATTGAGTGTAAAACTGTAACCT